TGGCTGTGGTTCTGTAAATGTTTGTTTGAAGTGTGCTTTTTCTTTTTTGTGAATATCATTTTTATTTGATTTTGTATTCTTATTGTGTGAGGAATCAAGATACAATTTACAGGGACTCACAGGTCCCAACTAAACATATGTAGAGACATATAGATGAAGGGAGACACGCAGATCTCTAATTGTTTTCTACACAATTATAGCGAGCACGGAAAACATCAGGCAAAGGAATATATTACATATCCATAGAAACGTGTTGGTTACATTTGAATAAGTTATGTATGGTAATACAATGAGAAGTCCAACACACAGAGAGGACAGTAAGTCTTGTAAATTTCCGGTATCAGTCGCTAGTTGACTAGTGCTGTGTACTTTTTCTTTAACTCTGTTATTTGACCAGTGTGAAGGGTAACGTACTATGAGAACATTGCATTGCAGGTTTTGCAAAGGTGTTGGACACTATTGTTTGTAGAACCCAGGCTCACTCATTGTTCACTACCTAAAAAGGCCTAAAGAGACACAAATTCCAAGAGATTACACAAAAGCATTTAGATGAAAAATAGAACAACAAAACAGTACAGTATCGTTTATTACCCTTTTTATTGGGCTAACAGAAATTTGTAGTAATGAGCTTTTGGGAGTTCCTTTCTGTATCAAGTCTAAAGAAGTATTAAAGGGAAATTTTTAGTCCAATAAAAGAATTATAATAGACTGCAAAAATTCACTATTTTGAATCTTGATTACTGGACTTATATGGCAACGCAAATAGCATGACTAAAAAGGATATAGGCAGATGTGTAAGACATTCCTGTGGGATGAGCAGGCGGCATAGGTCAGAACCATTCTGTGGGCCATAGGACAGTGATTAGGTATAGTCCTATCCATGTGACCTATTATAATAGTAAGCTCTGTGTGTGGTCAGTGAAGTATCACAGTAAATTTCATTCCATTGGTCAAATGATGCAGTATAGTAACAAGGGCTGTGGATGAGGCCAGTGAAGAACGAGAATAGGTTCTGTTCCTTGGGTAAAAGTAGGCAGCAAAGTCACAATGTAAAGTCCATATTTGGGCAATGAAGTGAGATTCTATATTCCACTCTTAGACTTAAACACTGAAACTGTTAATGAACAGAATAGTAATACCAGTTATTGGCAATTGTCCTGAAAGGTGGACAATTATCGGTATCGGCTGTGGAAAAATTCTATTGGTCGATCCCTAGTCAGTATGCAAATCTTATTGGCAGTCGGATTGTTAAAATTTTGACAAAGCTAACAACCAGTCCATAATTAGTAGCCTCTGCAACAACTTACTAATGAGGCTGGGAAGGAGCCCTCAGTGGAGGTTCTGAGGATACATGAAAAAAAAAAATACTCTTTCATTCTTACTCTGTGTGCAAGGACCGGGGGACTGAATGAAATAAATTTGGCCATCATACCAACACATTGCTCTCCCATGTTCTCAAAAAGTGTGTGAAAAAATGGGATTAAAATACTAAAATGGCTCTAAATACCAAATTTGTACAATTTAAGTACAACATTTTTGACTGTTGTGGTACTTTATATCTTCTGTCAGAGTTGTTCTAGTGGTGATGACAATTTAAATATCTGCTATCCATTTCTCTTTAACCAATTATTTTAACCTATGTGGCTTATGTAGTGTAATTAAATTTAAAAAAATAGCAAATGTAATAAAAAGAGAGTTTGGCTGCAATTTTTTTTTTTTCACAAACTAAACCGATGCTTTATTCTTTAAAGCCAGGTACATTCAGGACACACACTTAAAAATATTTATATCTTGCTCAAACATTGGAAGCACTATAACTAACAATAAAACAATTTGACCCCACTTTGGTATTGTTCAATGTTATTTTGTTGCTTTGCTTTCTGCGTTTAAAAGAAAAAGAAAAAAATAATTCAGCAAACCATTTGCTAAGAGATTTTATGTCCCCCCCAAAAAAATGTTTTCAACTCTTCCAAACCAGCTGTTGAAGAAATAACATAACATATAGACATAATTAATGTTTTTGAATAGTAATTTTCCCTAAGTAGTCAATGTGGATAGAATCACTTGACTGAAGGGCTGGTTCTCCTTTGATTATGACCAGATTTGAAGAACTGATAGGCCTATGTCTTCTTATAAGCTTTCCACCAATCTCAAACAATGTCCTTCTTTTTTTTCATGCAGAATAAAATAATCTTAGACCCCATGACCTTCAGTGAAGCCAGATTCAGGCCTTCTCTTGAAGAGAGGCTTGAAAGTATTATCAGTGGAGCAGCTCTAATGGCCGACTCATCGTGCACACGGGATGACCGCAGAGAAAGAATTGTAGCTGAGTGCAATGCTGTGCGACAGGCTCTCCAAGATCTGCTGAGCGAGTACATGAATAATGTAAGTCTGTTTTAATTGCCTTTCTGCATGTCAAATGTCCTTTGTATGATTCATAAATGTGATTGCCCTTTACAAACCCAAGTCTTTATGTTGAACTAAAAGGTATGGGAACAGCAAGTTGCCAGCTGAGCTAGAGCTAACCTTTGGCAAAACTTCAGTAAGTATAACTTAATTGTTCTTCTCAAAAGGAAAGGTAATGACTTTTTTTCCCATGATCCCCTCCACTGAGAGATTTAAATTATCTGATCATGGTACAATTAGAAAAAAATAGTCTCTTGGAATTTGTCAAATGGAAATCTAATTGCATATATTTTAGTTGGTTATTTCTAATAAATGGTGTTGGTTTGTAATGCTAATCATTTCACTGGAGGGAACATTTTGTTACCTACTCCACTAGTCTTAAAAGGAAGCTATCATACCATTAAAAATGAACTTATAATATATTAGATCATATGTTACATATATGCTACTAAATTATATATAATTTTAAAGATATCATCAGAGATGTTGAATTCAGGTTTCCTAAAATGTTGTTGAACTACAACTTCAAAAAAAAAATCCCTGTTAGCTTAAACCAGGCATAAGCAACCTTTGGCACTCCAGATGTTTTGGACTACACCTCCCATGATGCTTTGCCAGCCATATGGTTGTAAGAGCATTATGGGGGATGTAGTCCATAACATCTGGTTGCCTATCCCTGGCTTAAACAATCAAAGAATTATGGGAGGTTCAGTCTAAAAAAGGCCAGGAGATCTGAGAATGATACACCGGATATTAAGGTTTTTGTACCAGTTTAAATTTCCTCACTGCAGTTTGATCTGCTGTCTTCCCCGGATACTCTGCAGACAGGAAGTGGTCTGTCTATCTAACTGTTGGATCACGGGCTGCAGTCCGTTTACAGCTCATTTTTCAACTCATTGCAATAATTGTTAAGAAAATAAAGTCTGGAGACTACATCATCATACTGTTATGTACTCCTACTTTATTTCACAGTTTATAATTTTTGTTAATTCTTACTGTTCTTCCCACCTGTTCCTTCCAACATGGCACAAGCTCAAGTAGTCGTTGTAACATTTTTTGTTTGTTTGCGATTCTTGCCATTGCTCTATTTACTGTTTCTATCCACAATATACTTTTTTTTTTTTTTTTACTTAAATGAACCTGTCTGACTCAGAAAGTAAATAACAGCTCAGAACACATCGGATTTCCTTTTATTCGGACATTCTTTGTATGTTGACTGCTTATGAGTCAGACGATTGGCGAGATCATATAAAGAGAAATGGCAGCCTACTATTCTCATAGCAATAATACATTTAATGTTAATGTGGTCATTCAGTAACTATTTGTAACTATCATTTGTATGCCAAGCCAAAATGCAGTTATTAAAACCATTCTTTTATTTCTTTTTCCTTTTGACGTAGTAAAGTAGACCCTTTAATTTTTGTCTTGGGTTGCTCCTTGAATTGTCAATCTAGCCCAGGTATAACCAAGGCTAATATATCACCCTAGACGGTGAATCATGTCTTTTCCCTATGTTAGTCTAACATGTTCATGTTCTAAACTGTGTGTAGCTTCTAATACATTAGTAATCACCCCCTGCAGAATAACACACAAGGCAGACAGGCAAGGCTCCAAATTCCATCATAGCCAAGTCATGTGGTCTCACACTACATCACGCTGCGAACAGACTGCAATACCTATACGTTTTTGTTTTTGCCAGCATAGTAGGTGGGATGGCAAAAGATTGAGGTCTGTCAATGAACAGTCTTATATTGGCTTTCTCTGCACATTTATTCTTGAGGATTTTTTTTAACCTATTTACACAATTGTTACAAGAAATATATATACATGTAGAGAGTTACTGACTTCCTGAAAATGGAACTCTACACCTTTTAGTTTAGTATTTCTGTTTAGTATGTACATTATGATGAAATGATTCAGATTTTTATTGTCTTTTTTGTATTGTTTTAAGTTACACTCATGGTTATTGGAAAATAGAATGTTACTTTCAGGATCTATTAAATAAGTCATCACTCAGCATCCTTAGCTACAATCAAAAAAAAAAAAAAAATGTTACTTTGGACAAGTGAGTTAAACATATAACATAATCATAGAGGTATAGAGGTTCATTGTATATCAAATTAGAGTGTAATTTAAACAAGCAAGATTAAGAAATGCATTCACAGCCAATATGATTACATTAATAAGAGCTGTTATTTTCTAATGCAACCTACATTTTTTATTTTTGTAATTGGGTACATTTTCATGTTGAAGAAACACAAAAGTCTGAATGGTTTCTGTAGAATCCACCGCACGGATTGCAAAGAAACTATCTGCGTGTTATTCACTAAACATCAAATTGCAGCGAATCGAAAAAAAATGAATTGCAACATTTAGGGAAATATAACTGATTTAGAAAAATTCTCCAGCTTAGCTGTAATCATGACTCGGCCATGATATTTTTATACTTTGCAGTTAGTGTTTAATTAATAAAACCCTACATTTATATGCTTACATATATCCATGGGACTAAATAGCAGCATGCACTTATAAAACGACTCCACTGACGAAAGTTAATCACTACCCCCATGTTATCTTTATAATTGGAAAAGTCCGCCTGTGGCCATACCAGTCTGAAAGTGCGTGATCTCGTCAGATCTCAGAAGCCATTCAGACTCGAGCCTGGTTAGTACTTCTATGGGAGACCAACTAGGAACCCTAGGCGCTATAGGCTATAAAAAAGTTTTTTTTTTTTATTATAAAATGAGAAAATTATTCTGTGTTACTACATTTAGCAAAGATGTATTCTTCTATTGCTACACTGGAGCATTCTGAGATTTTGTTATTTTTTTTTAATCTACACTTCTCATCCATATGGTCACCTATGAATAATTAATCTATTTATCATGTTAGAGAAGTTGCCAGGAAATAGATATTAAATATTCAACCTTTTATTTAATTAAGCAATACACCTATAGCAACCAGTGAGGTACATACAGCTGGGTATATCTCATACCTGGATGAACTGCATCTTGCGATTGTATTACAGGCACAGGGTATGCGCGCATCAAACTACGAAATACCTGCAAACAGAGTGCAGACCATTATATTATTTGATGTATATATGTGCTGGCACTTTCCCTGACTTTTAATATTTACCTGACAGGGCCTTTACATTGATGGATGTCAGGTCCAATTATATCCCTGTCAGTGTTATAGGTTCATAGCATAGGAGAATAGGAGATCTTATGAAAAAAAAAAAAGTAACAAAGACCCTTTTTCGAAATATTACATCGGCGATGATTAACCAATTAATGCACTTTTTTTTTTTTAACCTGAAGGTTGGCGATAGAATAAAGAGTGGCAATTATTTCACTGTGACATCATAATATACAGAGTTATTACATTAAATCAATATATTACTATTTTAATGAATAAACATAATTTTCATCAAATTTACTATTGATATCTGAAGCCAAATGTGTCTTTATGCCACATTATGCCATATCCTACTAGCACAATGTGTATTTTTTAATTTTATTATTTTTTTAACAGCTCTTAGGGAACATTCTATTAGTGGAATAATCACCATGGAAACCAGTGGAACTGCCCCACTTTTGACACTTTGCTTCAGAATTAATCTTTACATATTAAGCAGTGTGATTGAGACATTTCTAGAATAATATCTATATTTTTTTTTATAACCATTATATTTTTTAAAATACACAAAGATAATCCAGCAATAAACAGTGTACTACTGATGTAATGGATTACAAAAAAAATCATAAACGTTAAACATATACTTTATTGTATTATGTTCACATTGAATATCATTGCGCAAAGCTTGTTCGCAACAAATACGAGCATTATGACAATTGTTTTCGAAAGAATATGCTGAAAAGGTAATTAACTGTTATTCTGTGTTCCTGAGAAACATTTTCTATTCTTATGTTAATCATTTTCCATGCATTTCACAAAACAATATTCTAAGTATTACTTTTAGTATCTAAATGTCAAAGGTTGTTTTCAATAAAATCACATATTTTTACTCGTTGGTAAACTGCTAAATAGAAATTAAAACAGATGAAACGTGTGAAAGGAGACTGTGAGCGTGGAATGGCGATCCTGCAAGGGTACGTGTCTATGATCACCCTCTGATGTGCACTATATTATTCTGCCTCACAAATAATATATTCTTCCAATGGTGTCTCTAGGAACATTCCATGCTTTTGCTATCTCTTTCTGTATCATGTTTCTTGTTTGTGAAGGGCGCCAAAAACTCTTCTGTTAATATTGTGGACCATTCTTTTGACATATTTCTAACATGTAGACAAACGTGACAATCAACAAACTCCTAAAATAATTTTGAGATTTGCATTTTCAGTTGACATTGGGTAAACCTCTTAAAGCATTCATTGTGTTGAGATATTTCAATTGCTTTTGTTTGATTTGTTCATTGCCAACAGCTGATGCTGGTTGAATAATTTTGATTACAACTGTAAATGGGAGGAAATGGAGTGTAGAAGGAGATAAAAAAAAAAAATAAGTGCAATGAGAGAGAAGAAAGGTCAGTTTTGAACTGGTGGACCAGTATTGTGTTACTAGTAGCTGGTAAAGTTTATTTGGTTGCCAAGACTTTCATCAAGCCCATATAGTGGCATGAAATGAATATCTCTTATTCTATTAAATGATTAGCTCATTGCATAAACCCCTTAGATTACCACCAGGACAGACTGGCACAGACTACATAGGTAAAGACATACGGAAAGTGTATTCTAATGGGCTTTAGGAAAGGCCAGAGTTTAACAGAAAATATATAGACATCTTTAATAGCAGTAATTGATTTCTGGCAGCTAGAGGAGATTTATTGCTGTAAAACTGGTGCTATTCTGAGTCATTGCTAAATAAGGAAGATTTTCCATGGAAACCAATAGAATGTCCCTCAATATGTAGCAATCTGTACCCAGATTACCACCTTATTTTTCTTGATAAATCCCTCCTAAAACTAGAGCACTCACTATTAAAACAATAGCAAGTTCTGAAAGGGTTACTCCAAGCATCATGACAACTTCACTAGTCATGATGTTTGGAAATGCTGCACAGTTTAACCCTTCCATCATTAGCTAGCCTGGAATAAGAGTTCGGCGTCTGACTACAGCACGCACAGCGTACTGGTGCCAGAGAGCCAATGGCAGCACAGCGGTCTCCTATGCCGCCTTTGTCCAACTCTCTGCTCGTCCTTCCCTGACCTTCCACCCTGTCCGGCAAGGAGAATTCACATCAGCTGCACAGGGAGAACTTTGGAGCTTGATTGAGGTGAGTTTTAGATTTATTCCTTTTTTCAATATTTAAGGGGGCAGACGAGCATAGCAAGGGTTACTCTAACCAAAACTAGTGTTTTATAAAACCACAGTTTTTTGTTTGCAGTAACCCTTTAATGATTGCTGCACAATTATCATTTTATTTCCTGTCTATATTCCTGTCTGATTTTCACACTGCCATTGAAAATCGTATTTAAAAGGAGTTTTGGTAATGATAGCTGTATAATAACTGTATAACTCATAATGAAGCCTTTTGCCTGTATGGTACTTTTCTTATATTCTTCTGTACAAAATGTACCCATGATAGCTCTCAACTTGAGCTCGCATTTTATATGTATACACGTGTAAGCTTATTAAACTTGTCCAGCTTCTATTCTATTTGTAATAACTTTCAAAGAGAGAGGCTGCCTCTAACATTATATTTTTATCTTTCATTTACAATGTGGCTTATTTTTCTTCTCTTTATTTATATCTCAGTTTGAAGCACCCATTCCATATTACACAGAATTCTTTTATTTGATAAACCTTGCCTTAATTTGGCCTTCGATGTTCTTGGGTTTGATAAAAAGGGCAGGGTCACTCAACATGCTAAAGGGACAATTAATGTCATTGAAAATGTTCTATTAATACTGAATGCCAAATGAAAATAAGAGGTAAAATGAAATGTGTAGAACATACTAACTGTACTTTAAAAGGTGACACACAAATTTGAAATACTATTGTATTTTTATTCTTTTCAAATATCCCATGTAAATCAATAAAATACATTTATTTAAATTGGTATTTGCCAGATATTCTCCTTAATTTGTAAATGCCTATTTTAAGGTAAAGGTGCAGTTTTTGTTGGCGTATGTTGTTGGAATGTGTAATACTGGGCTATACAGGCTGCAGTCTGTAAAATCAAATGAAAATAAAAATCGCAAATCAGAAACTGGTTGTAAAATAGAAGATATGAATATTCATGATCACTGTGAATTTGTTGCTGTTTTAGCACCAGTTGTGTTTAATACAATTTAAAGGTTTCTCTGAGTCCTATATATTTCCTGTAGATGTCACCTCTCCTGGGATCAGTTGGGAAGATGTGATGGCATACGCCTCTAGCTGATATGGCTATTCCTGGCATAAACCTTCTTCATCTATTTTGACAAGGACACAAATTAATCACATGGCCTTTACATGGCAAACCATTTTTAAAATATAAAATTAGCTTATTCTTCCGTTTTATTATAATATATAACAATACATTCTGTATCGAGTCATTCCAATGCCACAAAAGTCATCAGAGTACTTGTGGGTAGTTGCCTATGGTCTGTTGAATATGATGTTTTCATTCTAACCATTGGGCATCCACTTCAATTATATGGGGACCAAATCTCAGATTCCAATCCAGGTGTTAAGGGGGGAATCTACATAATAGTGTGACGAGTCAATAATAGGCAGAAAGGTGGAATGGTGTAGAGAGTAAGGTTTTTTTCTCTCTATTGGGGAAGTTCTATTTAGGGCAGGCTTCCCTAAACTCTGGCCCTCCAGATGTTGCTGAACTACAACTCCCATGATTCTATGAATGAAATAGATAGGCTGAGAATCATGGGAGTTGTAGTTCAGCAACATCTGTAGGGATGCAGTTTGGGGAAGCTTGCTTTAGGGTTTAATATGGTTTTCAGAAATGCTGGTGTGGCACTATGATAGAGCAGCTTAGTTTGGGTTCTGCCTCAATATGGTGTTGGTTTTGTACTTTGTACCAAGTGTTTTTGTACGCTGTCTCCCGCACGAAATAGAGCATTAAAAATAAATAAATACGTGTTTGTATGGATCTCAAAATGGCCACATGGTAGGCATTCATTTTGGGATCCAGTACTAGAGATACCTCCATTGTTATAATTTCCTCACATTCTGGACGAGTCAGTTGTTCATGAAATTTGAAAGCTTGTAAGAAACTTGATCTGCACTTTTAATCTAAACTAAAACTGTGACTAGAAGGAGACCTTTGTCACTTCAGATGTTGTGAACTACATCTCCCATAATGGTTCCAAAACATCAGAGATAGGCAACCTTTGGAACTCCAGATGTTGTGAACTACGTCTCCCATAATGGTTCTAAAACATCAGAGGTAGGCAACCTTTGGAACTCCAGGTGTTGTGAACTACGTCTCCCATAATGGTTCTAAAACATCAGAGGTAGGCAACCTTTGGAACTCCAGATGTTGTAGACTACATCTCCCTTAGCACTCTTACAGCCATAATGTTGTCAATGCATCATGAGAGATGTAGTCTATCTGGAGTGCTGCAGGTTGCCAACCCCTGTCCTATAACCTGGGCTGCCTGCTTAATTATATGGATAGAATCCTAATGTGTTTTATGTAGATTCTGAGATATAAAATCAGCTTGTATCTGCATCAATTAGTACAACTTCC